TTCCTCTCCTCAACCCGCGGTCAACACATGCACGGCAAGTGCATGAGACACGCGTCTACATACAGCCGCACGCATGCACACACTCGCACACACAAGACGCATGTTCACTGCATCATACACCCAAGACGTCTGCACAATCCGCGAGGGTCGTCCAGGGCACAGCAGGCATGGCATATTCTCGACACCATAGGGGGTGCGCAGGGGGTGGTCTCTCATCGCGGCTGCTATCCGTGACGGTCGTCCAGGGCATAGCAGGCAGGGCATATTCTCGACACCAGAGGGGGTGCGCAGGGGTGGTCTCTCACCGCGGCCGCTATCCGTGACGGCCGTCCAAGGCACAGCAGGCATTGCATATTCTCGACACCATAGGGAGTGCGCAGGGGGTGGTCTCTCACCGCGGCCGCTATCCGTGACGGCCGTCCAGGGCACAGCAGGCATGGCATATTCTCGACACCATAGGGGGTGCGCAGGGGGTGGTCTCTCACCGCGGCCGCTATCCGTGACGGTCGTCCAGGGCACAGCAGGCATGGCATATTCTCGACACCAGGGGGTGCGCAGGGGGTGGTCTCTGGTGGGTCGTGGTGCGACACCATGGTTCGTCGCGGCCGCTATCCGTGACGGTCGTCCAGGGCACAGCAGGCATGGGCATATGGCATATTCTCGACACCATAAGGGGGTGCGCAGGGGGTGGTCTCTCACCGCGGCCGCTATCCGTGACGGTCGTCCAAGGCACAGCAGGCATGGCATATTCTCGACACCAGAGGGTGTGCGCAGGGGGTGGTCTCTCACCGCGGCCGCTATCCGTGACGGTCGTCCAGGGCACAGCAGGCATGGCATATATTGTCGACACCATAGGGGGTGCGCAGGGGGTGGTCTCTCACCGGGTCCGCTATCCGTGACGGTCGTCCAGGGCAGAGCAGCCATGGCATATTCTCGACACCATATGGGGTGCGCAGGGGGTGGTCTCTCACCGCGGCCTCTATCCGTGACTGTCGTCCAGGGCACAGCAGGCATGGCATATTCTCGACACCACAGGGGGTGCGCAGGGGGTGGTCTCTCACCGCGGCCGCTATCCGTGACGGTCGTCCAGGGCACAGCAGGCATGCATATTCTCGCACCATAGGGGGTGCGCAGGGGGTGGTTCTCACCGCGGCAAGGGGGTGCGCAGGGGGTGGTCTCTCTCACCGCGGCCGCTATCCGTGACGGTCGTCCAAGGCACAGCAGGCATGGCATATTCTCGACACCATAGGGAGTGTGCAGGGGGTGGTCTCTCACCGCGGCCGCTATCCGTGACGGTCGTCCAGGGCACAGCAGGCATGGCAGATTCTCCATACCACAGGGGGTGCGCAGGGGGTGGTCTCTCACCGCGGCCGCTATCCGTGACGGTCGTCCAGGGCACAGCAGGCATTGCACATTCTCGACACCATAGGGGGTGCGCAGGGGGTGGTCTCTCATCGCGGCTGCTATCCGTGACGGTCGTCCAGGGCACAGCAGGCATGGCGTATTCTCGACGCCATAGGGGGCGCGCAGGGGGTGGTCTCTCACGACACCGTAGGGAGCGCGCAAGGGGTGATGTGATGTCCGAGTGCGGCCGCTATCAATGACGGTCGTCCTGGGCATAGCAAGAATGACATCTTCTCGACATCCTGGGGGGGGCGCAGGGGGTGGTCTCTCAGCGCGGCCGCTATCCGTGACGGCGGTGCTCAGGGCACATCGGTACGCAAGTCTCCTATCCGGACCGGTCGCGTTCAGGGCACAGGGGAACGCAAGCGAGGTGAGTGTAACCGTCATCAAGAATACGTAGCCACCTTGGCTCATGCAGGCTCGGACCGTTCGGGTTTGCACTGGGGCGTGCTAGCGCTGGTGACTGTCCGTCAAAGGCGCAACGCTTGTCATGGCGCCCAAATGTGCCATGTCGGCGCTGCCGCCTCCATGCGAGCAGCTCAAGAAGTCAATGCTTGAGCTGGGCGCCGAGTGAGCGTAGAGGGCGCGCGCGATCATGTTGACAGGCATGGGGGCGGCTTGGTACGCAGCGCATTTAATGCTTACCAGCGACAGCTTCTCAACTGGTGGCCCGACACGCTCCTCACCAGGTACAGCGAGTTGCCGCGTCAACGAGGCGCCGACGATGCCAGGAGGCCGTGCTTGGTGAGGTACCTGCTGAACCCTTCGTCCGGCGGGTTCCCCGCTGATCAGCCGGGGGAGTCGGAAGAGGGTGATGGGTCGCCGTTGGCGAAAGTTCGGCGGGTCGGCGACGCCGGCAAAGGGGGCGCTGCCACGCCCGCGCAGGACACGCCCATCAAGTCCACGCCCATGCAGGCCTTCACGCCTCAGCGTTCCCCAGCAGTTTTGCTTGCTACCTCTGTTCGTTCCGCAGGCACCCCTCGCATTCAGCTGTCCCCTGAGCCAGCTCAGACGGACCGCCGTTGGTCAGAAGTACCCTGGTCGCAAGGCCTGCGAGAATCAGCGCAGCTCGAGAACCTGTTGGCGAAAGCGGATGCGAAAGCAGTCGAATGGTACAAGGCATTCGCGGCCAGGCGAGCTTCTGATCCGGAGTATTTGCCGTCGAGGAGGGGCGACGATGCCGATTTGTGGCAGGCGCTTTACAGGTGCTCTACGAACACTGGATCCTACAAAGTGGACGTACCTACCCTTCGCCTGTTCGCATTGCAGCCTGACGTGGTCGGCGCAGCTAGCGCCCAGTTCTACGGGGAGGTGAGCGACGTGTCTGGCTGGCTGGTCTGATTACTTTGGCTGGTTGTGGCTGGAATGACTGATCTGACTGGTCTTGTCAGTGTGGCTGGTCTGGCTCAAGAAGGCGAAGCGGGATGTGACATGGTGTGTGAACACACGTGACATAAAACAGGTATGTGGGGTTCCTCGGTAGCGTAATTCGGCCTGGCGGTCAGTTCCATTTCGCGGGCTTGGGCGGTGCGAAACAGCCGGTGTGTTTTATTGCTCCGGTGTCGTCAGGGTGTCGTCAGTGCGGCGGCTCTCTTGTTCGCAATTGGAATTCGCCGTTCCGCCGAGTGGACCACGCAGAAAAATGGTGCCGTTTTGATGGCCTTTTTTTTTCGTGGCACACGGGGGGGATTGCGGCGCCGTCCTCTTTTCAAAGTAGAAGCAACAGCCAGCTGACGAGTGTGCCGAAATTCGGTTTCTGGATCAAGCTCTCCCTCCCTGCCTCCTTCGCTCTCTCCTTCTCCGTGGGGGGCTGTGCGATACCGTCGGTGTCGTTTCATTGTTCAGGTCTCTTGCTCGCAACTTGAGCTCGCCGTTCCGCCGGGTGGACCACGCAGCAACATGGCGCCGTTTTGAAGGTTTTCTGTTCCTTGCTCAGGGGGGCGGGGGGGGGATGGCGGAGCTATATATATATATATATATATACGCATATATATATATGTATATGTATATACATATGTGTGTACACATGCCACATACATACATACATACATGCATGCATGCATGCATGCATGCATACATGCATACATACATACATACGCACACAACGCACACATACATACATGCACATACATACGTGTACATACACCAGGGGAGGAACATGCAACTATACCGCTGACCTTTCGCGCTGTCCCTTATTATTTGGGGTATCCTGGGGGCCTTCATCGCCACCGTTGGATTCGCCTCGCGATCCTGGTCAGGAAGCACCCTGGGAGAGGTCTGGGGAGCAGCGGTACCGGTCGCAAGGTCTGGGCCCTTCGCCAGACCACGTGTTGTTTTGGGGGGAAGGGGGAGGGGTGGGGGGGGCGTTGTCGGGCATTCCGGGGGGGTTTGTTGTGTTGCTGCCTGGTTCTGTTCGGTGCCGTCTTGGCCCTTCTCTGCTACGCGGGGGCCATTGTGAAGCTGCCTGGGCCCCGTCTCGGGTGCCTTTTGGGCTAGTCGGGGCACGTCTTGGCACATTTGGGGCTTCATTAGATCCCTCTTGGGCGACATGGGCACCGTGTCAAGGTCTTGAACGGCCCATCTTCAAGCGCACAGGGGAGAACGTCCAAATCATGTGGTAGCTATGTATCGGGGGGCTGTCCTGAACGTCAGGGCTTTTGTGGCCACCTCGGGCAGTCTTCGAAGCTGTTTTGGGCTACCTGAAGCGACATTGGATCCATGGGGCTTCTCCAGCCCAGTGGCCATGTTTTGGTGCCCTTTTCGTCCTGGTGCCCACCCCTCTCTCGGACCCCCTCCCCTTTCGAGCAGGACGGAGCTTTTGGGAAGGGGTGGAGTTTGAGGGGCCGCGAACCTGTGGCCCCGTCCGTCGCCTGGGGGCCCTCACAAGGCCATGAGGATGTGTTGAGGAGATCGCTCCCCCCCCCCCCTCCGGTCATCCTCCTCCTCCACCTCCTCCCCTCCTCCTCCTCCTCCTCCTCCTCCTCCTTTCCCTCCTCCTCCTCATCTTTTTCTCCTCCTCCTCTCCCTCCTCCCCCCTCCTCCTCCTCCTCCTCCTCACCCTCCTTCTCCTCCTCCTCCTCCTTCTCCTCCTTCTCCTCCTCCTCCTACCTCCTCGGGGCGGGAGGTTGGAGAGACGGGTCGGGGAAACCTGGAGGGAGGGACGGACACACATTTCGTAGGTTTCGCCCCCCTCGGGCATGCGATGGTACACGATAGTGGCAAAGGCCGAACTTTTCTGAGGGCGCTGCATGTACATATTTGCTGCCTGACTCCTTCGGCGGTGCGTCAGTGCTTCCTTGGCCCCCTAGTCACCACCGCATCTGTGCCGAGTGCCGTCGAGCGTGGCCGGGGAGGAGGAGGAGGTGGAGGACGCCGGCGGGTTGGAGGAGCCGGGGGGAGGGGGCAGGCCCTCAAGCCAGAGTTCGCCTCCCCGCTATTGGTGGCGCAGGCTCTGTCACGCTCGGAGGTCGCCAGCTGCCACCTGTCCTGATGCTCGTCGGCTACCTCTTCTGTCCCGTCCCGTGCCCCACGCGCTCGGCGCTGCAAACAGGGCCGCCCAAGCCGCAGCCGGAGCGCTTGCCGCGAGGCGATCGACGATGCTCGCATGCATATCGATGGTGCGATCGACGCAGCATCTTTCAGTGTACATACGGCGGCAGGAGGCCCCAGTTCCAGCACGCGGGGGCGGTGCGGGCCCTGCGCCTCCCCCTTCGAGCTCCGGCACTGCCCGCGCTCGGGGGGTCGGGGGCGGCAGCGCACAGCGGCCCGTGGAGCGATGCACGCCGCGGCGCGCCGCCCTGAGCGGCCTGTACACAGCCTCGGTGTACATACCTGGCCCTGCGAAGATCCAGCGGCTCCTAGTACTTCTGGTCGACCCTGAAGGTCGGGTGTTGCTAGAAGTTCCCCTGGCCCGAGGTGCCCCCAGGATTCTCGGGGTGGCCCAGGCGGCCTCCAGGGCACCCCTCACGAGGCCCAGAGGACCCCAGGGGCTCCAAAATGGCGCGAGAAGCTTGGGGCACCTTGGGCCAGGGGCACTTCTAGCAACACCCGATAAAGGGGGTCCAGCTGAAAGGGGATGGTGCAATAGATTTGCGCCAAACAAAATGTATTGCAAATGTACTGCGCCGGAGAATGGTATTGCATTGCATTGCAAGTCATGTACTGCACGCGAACGTCCAGCGATACATTTGCGCCTCGGAATGTATTGCACGCCCCAAATGTATTGCAACCCCACAAATCTATTGCGCCAAATCTATTGCACCACCCCCTTGTCGTTGGACCCCCTTTGGGGTCAGCCCGAGTAATGCGCTGCATCCGTCCCGGTTTGTTGGTCGAGATGCGACATCCCAGCCCGTCGCGAGAGGACGCGAAACAAGACGGTGCCCTCCTGCCACCCGCAAAAAGGGCCCGCTTTACTGGCTCGCCTCAGGATTTGAGACCGAGATCATCGTGTTCGCGATCGCCATCTCGGTGCATGCCATGCTCTTCGGCGGGCTCGGTGCCCTCCGCCCGCCTAGCACCTGTAGGTCAAGATGTTCGAACATCGGCCACGCGCAGAGGGGAGTAGGAGGAGTGGGGAGGCTGCTTAGGAGCATCCCCGCTTCTTAGAAGGCGCGGGTCGTCTCTATAGATGTAAGGCCGGCGCCTTCTAATAAGCAGCCTCCTTCTAAAGAGCCTTCCTCCCCTTCACTGCCTATTTGTGCTCGCTGCCAAGAATGATGACAACCTCTGGGGTTTCGAAGTGGGCCTCAGTGCTCGCAGGGGTCCCCTATCGGGCCCTCCTCGCGCACCAAGGCGTCGCTGGGGCAGGGAGGGGCCCCGCCCACCCCTAATGCGGAGGCACCCCGTGGCAAGACGCCAGTGGAAGGACCACCTCGTGATGAGAATGAGTGAAGCTCTCCACGGCGCCCCCCCCATGTTGGACAAGTTTCTCTGGTACCACTTCTCGTTCGCCGGGAGGAGGTTCAGGAAGGACACCAAGACACAGGCACAATTAGTCGTCGATTCCGCAGAAAATATAGGAAAATACGGGACATGGGGAAGACAAAAACCCAAAACATATTGGGAATCATGGGGAATCCTGTTACTTGTCTGTATTTGTTTGTGTGTCCCAGGGCCCTTTCAGAGGTGGAGGAGGAGAGAAGGGGCTCGGTGCGCTAGGCCAGTACGTACGCAAGAGATTCGAGATGCATCAGGACCAGCTGTCGACCCTGAGGAGGGGGAGAGGAGAGAGGAGGAGAAGGAGGAGGAGGAGGAGGAGGGAGAGAGGAGAGAGGAGGAGGAGGATGAGAAGGAGGAGGAGGAGGAGGAATAATAACAATAAGAAGGCCAGGGGAGGAGGAGGATTATGATAGCGAGAAGGAAGAGCTGCCGCCTCTGCCGTGTCATCTATCGCCACCCGGTCCTTACGAGTTTGCCCAGCAGGATTGGCGGCCTAGGGAAGTCGTGCATCCAGGGGCAGTCTGTTGTGTCCTCTCTTCGGGCACGGTTCGGCAAGGCTCTCCCTGGACTGCTTCGCGGGGATCGATTTCGATCAGATCGATAACATTCGATCAGATCGATAACATTCGATATCGATTTTGGTGGCTGGTCATGCTGGTCATGCTGGTCATGCTTTAACAGCGGGCATCGATAGCTGGTCATGCTTCTTCGCTCCTCCTCCTCCTCCTCCTCGTCGTAGCTTTCGGCGTCGTTGATGTGCTGCGGGTCCTGCGGAGCAACATGATTAGTTACCCCCTATTGGTGGGACCCCAGTCCTTCAATAAGGCCACTGAAAAAAAGTTGTTTCTCCCACCCTTGAGGTTTAACTCGGGCGTCCAACCCTCCAAAATCATCAGGGTTGGGGGCGGTCAGGGGCAACTATCGAGCCTCGGGGGCCCAAACAGGAGTTACTCCGGACCGCAGTTCTCCTGCTCGGGTGCCCAATATTTTGAGCCCCACCTACCCTAGCGCGACTCAAGTGCGACTCAAGTCGACGGACGTTCGACGCAGCACTGGCGCAGGAGTGGAGAGCGAGTGGCTCGTTGAAGGTCCCCAGAACTTGCAACTGACTGACCGTCGGGTTGCCAGAACATGCAGTTTGGGAGGAGAGCGCATTGAGCGCACCCCCTATCTCGGCTTCATGTGTTGCTCTGGAGGGGCCCGACGCCCGCGCGTTGCCCAGTTTCGCCGCCCCGAGCGCCGACGACTTCGAGCGCGCGCTCCTGTGCGCACGTGCGGACATGATGCTCTGATGTCAGAGGCGTCAGAGATTGACACCAACACCAATCTGGGCGGTGTGCCTCCACCGAGGGAAGGTGATCACGATCTCGGTTATGGTGGTATGATTCGGTCTTCCTAAGTTGCTGACAGATTAGCATCAACGCCGAAATCGAGGATCGTCTTTCCCCAGTGGAGGCAACACTGGGTTATGGTGTTGGTGCCCATTTCCAAGCCTCCAGTGATTGCCGCGCGGCCCCGATGCCGACGATTGTGGCCTCCAAGCAGTGCACCACGTCAAAACTGGAGCGCTTCTTCTTTCGAGCATCTTCTGACCCATTGGCGAAGAGCAACAGGTTGGATTGCTCCGCGCGAGCGGCGTCGCGCCTCATCCCATGTCTTGCAATGAGCAACGTCGACCAATCATTGATATCACGAGGTCGACCGCGCCAGTGTTGCACTGTGCCTGGGGCATACTCTCAGACGAGTGCGGCAGGATCCTAATGTTTTCGGAGTGTTTTTTGCCTGGACGCGAAGGCGAGCGGGGCGGGAAAACCTGCCGACGGGAGGAAACAGACGGGCGCAGGACGAGGAGCGCGAGGAGTGGACCTCAGGGCTAGGACCTTCCCCGGGAACCAGTTTGCGGCCAGGGCCGTTCTTGTATACCGCTCCCAATTCCCAGCAACGGCCGGCATCAAGAGAGAACGCACGCAGCAACAACATCGTGGTGTCTCTTGTCAGTTTTTTTCGCTACGCGAGTGGGCCTACAGCAGGACACGTCAAACAAGACGGAGCCAGCCTGCCAGCAGGTGCCACACAGAAGTGTCTGATCCCCAGGTGGCCCTGGGGGCCCCGTAGTAAGTTCAGGCCACCAGCACCTCTGAGCCGAGCGTCCGGAAGGTCGCGTGGGCAGAGGGTGCTCGCCGGGGGAGAACCGGGTCCTGATGGAAACGGGTCTTGAGGTTTTTCGCCGGTTTGAGGCTCTCGGGGCCCTCCACGGGCCCCGGGATTGCCAAAGAAAGGTTCAGGATGAAGATCCCGTCCGGGCGGAAGGCCCCGGGGTCCAGAACCTGCTTCCCTCATGACCCGGTTCCCCCTATCAGGCGATCGCAAACAAGGATTAAGGGGGCGTGGATTAGCGACGGGTCCCGTTTCCATGGGAAATCCGGGATTTCCGCCGCCGAACGGGGCGGCATTGGCCGCACTTTGGGGAGGGCACCTTTCCCGATCCAAGGATTTGGCCCCCGCGCGCCACATCCATGGATCGCCAATCCATGTTTGCGCGCCCCCGACCCTGTGCGAAAGTGCGCGAGCAGCAGCTCTTCGAAAAAAATGGCAAGGGCAGCGTTGCAGAGCGACCGCGTACACTCAGAGGCTCGATTGTGGTGCGGCCTGAGAGGAAGAGGAGGAGGAGGATGACGACGAGGAGTGAGCTACATCCCAGGGACCGGCATCCGTGAGAGGTAGGAAGTTCGGGCATCGACGGCGCATGGGACCCCAGTCCTTCAAGAGGGCCGCCGAGAAAAATATAATCAGTTTCCCACTATTTTTTTGGGGGGGGGGTTCTAGAGACCTCTCAGGGTTAGCGAGGGGCTTCATCTTGCGCCCCTGCTGCTGGGAGAGGGGTGTGGTCTCGCTGCCCGATGGCGCGCAGCGTTCGTTGCCTGCTCTCCGCGGCGCGAGGGGACCTACGAGCCACGACGCTGAAAGAGGGACCGACCACTTTGGGCTCCGGCTTCCGGGGCTTCCAAGATGCTGAGGGCCGTCCGCGCCAGGGGCTCCCTGACGCGGACGGCCGAACGACCCCCGCTGACCCCTGCAGCGGAGCTGGGCTCCCTGGCGCTTCGGGCTTGGGAGCGACGCTGAAAGAGGGACCCGCCAGAGGGGTGCTCGGGCTTCCGGATCGCTACCCAGAGCTAGGCCGGGGAACCTCCTCGTGGCCGAGGCGCGCCGTGGCAAGAGCGGCCCCCTCTGTGATGGCACGAGGGCCGTAGGTTTGACATCGCTCGGACGTGTGCGCTTCCTATTGGCGAGGACCATCGAGGAGCAACTCGGATCATATCGCGACGCAGATTTACGCGCGACGCCGAACAATGAACGGGATATGGACGTCCAAGCGAGGGCAAGTAGGGAGAGGTGGCGGGGGGAGGCCTCGCTGCCCGAAGGTGCGCGAGCCAAGCCGAAGAAGGGACCCAAGGCGAGCCCGAAGGCGAAGGCGCCACCGCCCACGCAGGCGGGCGCTGCTCGCCAGGCCCCCCCCGCCCAGTAGCTCCGCGTCGCGCCAGCCCGCCCCCGCGCGGCAGAGGTGGCGGCCCGCCTGATCGGTACGATGGGAATGGGTACGCAACGAGGGGGTACGAAGACCACAAGCACTTCGTGCCCGTTTTGAATCCGATTCGCTGCCGGGGTCGCCAAGGGTGTTTCCCCCTCGAGATAGAAGGCCGCCTGCCCAACAGCGGCCGTTGTCGTTTTTTTTGGGTGGGGCATGGCACTTTTTTTCCGAACCCATTTCGGGCGTCCAAATCTGTGGGCCCCCACACGGTGCAGTGGCCACAACGTTCTGTGACTCCGTGGTGTGATTCGGGGATTGGGCTCAGGGGGTCTCGAGGATCGAGGCGCTCGGACGTCTGTGTCGGCTCCCAGGCCTTTTCCAGCTTCGGGATGCCTTCTAGCGGCTGCGCCCCCGCCGAGGGCTTTCTGTGGGCACCCAGATCGTCTCGAGCGGTCGCCGGAGAGCCGAGCTACGACCCGAAAACCATCGACGCAGGTGTACCAAACTCGGGGCCCCGAAAAGGTGCGGCAGCCACATCGTGTGGTGACTCAGTGTGGACTCACCCGCGCGCGGCCAGCTTAGACCACGGTGGCCCTCCCGCGCGGTGGGGTCCATCCCGACTCGTCTTTCGAGGCGGGCCCGGCCGAGGCGACCGGAAGCCTCCAGAGGAGGCCCAAAGCCGGCGACGCGCCCGAGGGGGGACGGCAGAGGGGGCGGGCATCCTCAGAAGTCTCAGCAGGCCGCGGATCTCACGAGGAGAGTGCCGAGCCTTTTCCGAAGCCCCGCCGAGAAGGCCTGGCCTGCCTCACTGCCCCCTCGGCGCGCCGCGCGTCTCGGCGAAAGAGGGCAGCCGTTGTCTCGACTGGCCCGGCCCTCCTGCGACGACAAGCGCGCGCGCGGCTTGGTCGCTCGGGCGGTGGGCCCCGCGCGCGCGCGTCCGAGGCCGCCGCGGCCGCCAAGGACGGCGCCGCCGCCGCTCGCGCGGCCCTCCAGGACCGAGGCGCGAGTCACCTCCTCACGGGCCCCCTCGTCACCACCTCCTCTTCCTCGTCCTCCTCCTCCTCGTCCTCCTCCTCCTCATTATCATCATCACCTTCACGTCCTTACCTATTCTCGCTTCTCACCTCCTCCTCCCCCCATCACCTCCTCCTCTTCCTCACCTCTCTGCCTTCGCGTCACTCATAGCCTCCGCTCCTCCTCCCAGTCCTCCTCCTATCCGCACTTCTGTCGCTCTTCCTCCTCCTCTCCGCACTTCCTCCGCGCCTCTCTCGTGGTCCTGGCCGCGGCCAAATGGCCAGGCTCGGCCCCGTCCCCAGAGGGGGGCGGGGGATGCGTGGGAGGGCCAGGGGGGAGGAGGAGGGCAATGAGTCATCTTCCAGCTAGGTGGCTCCGACATGGGCCCCGGAAGGTCGCAAAAGAAGCACAAGGCCACCAAGATTACAGGAAGCGCGGCAGACCGCAGCATCGCGGCAGACTAGCACGGCAGCCTTGATGATCTCTTGGGCCGCCTTGGACCATGCGGAGGTCGTTTTGGACTGCGTCGTGAGCCTCTTGGTGCAATACTCGGCTGCGTTGGTCGATACTAGGGGACATCCCAGACCACTTTGGAGCCCTTTGCCTCCCTGTTGGAGTCTCGGTGAGACAAACATCCGACCGTTTCGAACACATTGAAAGCGTAGCAATGCGTTTTTTTGGGGACATCGGCGATACATCAGAGTGAGGGGACTGAACGGTCATTCATTGACCCTGGGTGCGTGGCTGAAGTGGGATTCAGTGGCCAGGAGTCTTGTTGTTCGTTGTTGAGTTCTAAGCCCCCAAAAATAATTGCTGATGATCCCCCTGCCTAGTAACCTTTTTATGTTTTAATCAAAGTGCTCCTCCCGGGGTTCGTGCCCTTTTTTTACGAGGGATAGCGAGGGGTCATCAAACTGCGTTGTTGAGCCGCGATCTAGAACATCAACGGCTCCCGCCTGATACGTCCACACTATGTATTCCCAAATCGCGCTCTCGCGCGGGACTCCTTCACAATGTATGCAGGAATCGCGCTCTCGCGTGGGACATCATTGCAATTTATTCATTCGCCGCGCCCTCGACACTCAGGAATCATGCTTTCGCGGTAACGCCCCCCTCCTGCTGATTTCTCTCATGCTCCGTTCTCTACTCCCTTGTTTTAGGGGCTGCGCCAAATGCACGTTGCAGGTAAGAAAGATTTAACCCCAAGGGAAGACGATCGAAGACGAGGAGGGCGTTTATCGAGGGTTTGGGATATACGTGTTGAATTGCACGTGAGCAGATAGGAGCGAACAGTCTGACAATGAGAGGTGTTGATTTTGGTGATGGTGTTGGTGTTAGTGTTGTTGGTGTTGTTGGTGTTGTGTTTGTTATGGTTGCTGTTGGTGGTGGTGTTGGTGTTGTTGTTGGGGTTGTTGTTGGGGTTGTTGTTGTTGGTGGTGTCGTTGTTGTTGGTGGTGGTGGTGTTGCTGGTGTTGTTGCTGTTCCTTCTTCTGTTGCTGTTGTTGTTGGTACAGTTGTTGCTGTTGCTGTTGCTGTTGTTTCTTCTGTTGCTGCTGTTGTTGCTGTTCAGTCTTAGTTTCCAAGCAAGTATCATTGTTGGATCCCCTGGTGACGCCCAATCGCTCTCGCCTCGGCGCTGGCCGCATTTCTTCTGAAATCGAGGCTCACGCACAGGCGTTTCGGGGGTGTGCCGAAACCCGACGGCCCCCCAGCAACAACAACTTTGCCGCTCGATATTTCCTCCTTCTCTACTCAGGATCAGGGCTCTTGCTCGCCTTCGCAAACCAGCTTTCCAGCAAAACCGGCTCTCCCGCGCTTCGGCACCGCAAGCCGCGACGTTCTATATTTCTTCCGTTCTTATTCCAGACTCCAAGACGCCCTGAGGCTTCCCTAGGCCTTGTTGCACCTTAATTGTGAGAAAAATATGATCGTGGAATGCCCTGCATCCGCACTGGTGCTCTCGCCTCGGCGCCGGCTGCATTTCCTTTGAAAGTTATGGTCACGCTCAGGCGTTTCGGGGTTGTGCCGAAACCGGCCCCCGAACAACCGCAACGCTCCCCATCGATATTTCCCTTTGTTATTCGGGACTTGGGCTCTCGGAGGTTGATGGACCTCCTACCCTGACACGTCCCTCTACAGGAGGAATCTTCAAAAATAGTAAAAAAATACTCTGGGGACAATGTTTTTTACAATTGTTGAACATTTGGGGCGCATTTTTTTACTATTTTTTGTTTTTCCTCCAAAGTCCCCCTGTAGGGGGACAGGCCGCCTGGCCCAACCTAAGGCCACGACGACAGCGGCGCGGCGGCGGCGCTGACGACAGCGGCGCGGCCGTCGCCGCCGCCGCCGCCGGTGCTTCCGCGTCGTCGTCGGCGGCGGTGGCGGCCCGCGAGAGGACCTCCGCGCCGCGCTGGGCGCTTCCGACCTCCCGGCCGCCCTGCGCCACCTCCGCGCAGCGGCGCCCCAGGCCTGGGGGTGACGGCGACGAGTCGGGGGCAATGTTGGGGGAGGTCGGGTATGAGGGTAGCGTTGCAGAAGTCGATCAATGGAGAGGAAGCGTGTTGCCAAATATTTTCCAGGTGTCTAAACCTTGTGTCAAATATGTTTTAAATATGTTAAACATGTTTTAAACATTTTCGGAACATGTTTGACACACTTCAAACTCATATGTAGTTCAATGGCGCGATAGTTAGAGTGTCCATTGTCATGGCATCCACAAAAGTAGCGAGCCAGACAAAACAGGTAGGACGAAATAGGCAGGCTAGGGAAAGGGTGGGTTACGAAGTCTGCTGCATGAAGCTGGGTTCGGCCTCGCCGCCGGGACCATTCCTCGATACACGGGCGCCTCCCGGCGCCGGGAGGCGCCAGGAAAACCAGCCACGCAAGCTGAGTATCTACCCTACCCCTTGCTACCCTACCCTTTCGTCCCCCCCCGAGAGTAGCGGTCATGCACCGTACCATGTTTGGATTCTTCCGGTCCCTCAGCTGCATTGAGGTAATGTGTATAGTTTGTCAGCCCTGTTGGCCTCCACATTGCACCATACCATTCTTTGGTCGACGATCGCCGACGACTTGGGAGACGCCGACGCGGCACGGTGCATACGAGGCAGCCGCGGATCAGGGGCAACTTTCCCAGACGCCCTTGCATCGTGGAACAATCTCGACGGGAAGTTTTTGGTCATTTTCAGGCTCCTGCGGCCCTCGCTGGGCCCTGGCACCGGTTAAGAGATGGTTCGGGATGCAAAGTCGATCCCACGGAATGGGTCGGGACCTCTTAGGGGTCCACGTTGGGACAACAATCAGGACGTTAGCTTTCCAGCTTCGAGTTTTGAGGCCCTCGTAAAGCGTGGATCAAGGCGCGTGGATTAGCGACGTTTCCCGCTGCCACACCAGATTGGCGCGCTGCGTCGCCAAACGCGGCGACACTGCCGCCAGATCCACGATCCTTTGTATCGACGATCAATATGTGATGTTTCTTTCACCAATTACAGGTCGATGTCCCCCCTTGAGCGGATCCCCACCTACCGTTCCCACTGAGGTGTTCTGGCGCGTTTTCCCCTCCTGTCTCGTCGCCTCGGCTGTGTTCCCCAGGACGCACTTCAGGAGAGGTCCAGGGGGCGACTTATATCGGTGGTTCAAAGATGGGGGTTGAGGGATGGGGTCCTAAGGATGGAAGGGGTCCAAGGGTGGGTTTGCATGGTTTGAGGCACCTCGTCATTAGGACCCCATCCTTCAGGACCTCATCTTTGAACCACCGATTCGAAGCCCGAAACACGCACCTCCGACGCACTTCGGAGTCTGTCCTAGGCCCTCGAAGGTCTTGCAGGGGCCTCTGGAACCCTTTCGGCTCTCGCACGGCTTCCGCGGAGGTATTATGATGCCTCTGGGGGACCTCCTGGGGCCTCCGTGTCGCTGGGGGGAGAAGGCACCCTGAAGGGAATCTAAATTCAGAGGAGAAAAACGTACCGGTACCGCTACCCTTCGCTTTTTTCTCTTTGGTGGGTCTCTTGGGAGGCCCTCGTGGCCACCGCTGGATTCTTTTCGAATTCCTGGTCAGAACGCACCCCAGAGAAGGTCTGGGGAGTATTGGTATGGGTACCTGCTTGGTTTCCCCATGGATGCCCGTTGAATGGCTGAGGGAACGTCGACGGTCGATCTAGGGCGAAAACTTGGCCAAGACGGGTTCCGAAAGGGGTCTGGTGGCCAATGCAGTGCGGACGTCGGAGCGGGGGGTCGACCAAGTTGGGTCTTTCGCTTGCGGCCCCGTCGTGGACAGAAGCACGTGAAAGCACGTGCCGAGCGCACCCGTGCCGAGACGCATGCCTGAGACCCCCCCCCGCACTATGTGTTTCGTGCCCAATGCCGGCGCCCGCTGCTCGACGCCCTTCTGGTAGAGGGCTTCTGGCCAGCAGATTGAAAGGGTCCTCCTCCTCCTCCTCCTCGTTCTCCTCCTCCTCCTCCTCTTCCTCCTCCTCCTCCTCGTTCTCCTCTTCCTCCTCCTCCTCCTCCTCCCCCTCCTCCAGAGCCGCTACAGGGAAACAAGCAGATCGCCAGAGACGCCGGCACCGCTGCTCCCCGGACCTCTCCCGCGGTGCTCTCTGCGTCGGACGTCGAGGAGGATTCAGCCACGGCGGCGGGATCTCCCCATTGACGGGCAGCGGCATCGGCCTCCTCGGACGAGGGCTCTCTCCGGGACAGGACGAGCACGCAGCACAATCGCGCCGCTGGCGTCAAGTCGGGCCAGTCCCTCTACAGGAGGAAATTCAAACATAGTTTAAAACAAATTGGGGGCATTTTTTGATTATTTGTTTGCCATTTTGGAGTATGTTTTGAGTATTTGTGGTTTTCCTTCAAATTTCCCCTGTAGGTGGACAGGCCCGACTCAATTCCAGAGCCATTAACGGGAAAAAGGCAGATCGCCAGAGATGTGGGCACCGCTGCTCCCCAGATCTCTCCCGCGGTGCTTTCTGGTTCGGACGTCGAGGAGACTGCAGCCACGGCGGCGGGATCTCCCCATGGACGGGCAGCGGCGACGGCCTCCTCCCGGCCTCCTCCCGGCATGGCTCGGACGTGTGCATTTTCTCTCGGCGGGGATTATTCAGGAGCATCCTAGATCACCCCGCGAAAAAAAACACGCACGAAACCGGAAAAAAACACAAGGAATGGACGTCCGAGCGACGGGGAGTCCTCGGACGAGGGCTCCCCAGGGCAGGACGAGCACGCAGCAAACCACGCCGCTGGCGCACAGCAGCAGCAGATCACGTCGTCGGCGGCCCGGGCGGCGGCGGCGGCGGCGGCGCGCCCGGCGCCCGCCCATCAGTGGCGCTCGGCGGGCGGCGCGACGCCCTCCGCGGCCCCCGACGGGCTGCTGCTGCGCCTCGCCCGCCTCGCGGCGGAGCAGTGCGCGCCTCGGGCTGCGGCGCGGCGCGGCGCGGGCGGCGGCGGCCGAATCGAGCGTCGGAGAGTCCGAGGAGCCCAGGCCCCCCCCCCTTGTCGGGCCGAACGAAAGGGGGGGATAAGGGAGAGGGGGGGGGATACGAAATCTGCTGGATGCACCTGGCTTCGGCCCCGCCGCCGGGCCCATTCCTCGATACACGGGCGCCTCCCGGCGCCGGGAGGCGCCGGGGAAAGCAGCTACGTGAGCCGATTCTCAACCCCCCCCTTCGCTATCCCCCCCCTTTCGCCCGGCCCGACCCTCGCGTCGTGAAGACTTCTCGACCTGATTTGTCTGTTGATGTTGCTGCTGTTGTTGCTGTCGCTGCTGCTGCTGCTGCTGCTGCTGTTGAACTCCCATTTCTGACTAGCTATTGTTGATCCTCCCTCCGATAACAGATGTGTTTTTCATTTGAAGTGCCCGTCCAGGGGTTCGCACCCTATTTGTTGTATCAGGGAAAGTATGCCTGCTAAAACTGCGCCCCTGGCCTCCGAACAGCAACAACAAGAACAACAACAATAACAATAATAACAACAACAACAACGATGACGACGACAACAACAACAACAACACCAACATGATCAACAACGACAACACCAACAACAGCAACACCACCAGCAACAGCAACAGCAACAGCAACAACGGCTCCCGCCTGGCATTTCCTCGCGATGTATTGAAGAATCGCGCTCTCACGCGGGACTTTCTCACAGTACGAGTCGCGCTCTCGCGTGGGACTTCCTCGCAATGTATTCAGATGATGCGCCTTCGGCGCTCAGGAAGCACGCTGTCGCATTGGGCATGCTCGCGTTTTTCCTTCGGAATCGCGCTATTGCTTGTGCCTTCTTCGCGATCCATGCATGACCCACGCTTCAGCAACCCGTTTGCTCGACCTGGTCGCCTGAGCCCGCCTCCCCGACCTGCCCGCTATGGGCCTGCCCACCCGATCTGCCCGTCTGGTTCTACAATTTGTTTGTGCCCCTTGCCCCCCGCCTGCTAATATCTCTCGTGCTCCATCCTTCTCCATCCCCCTTCCACCCGCCCGTTCTTTCCCCTGTTTAAGTGGCTGCACTACATGCACGTGACAGGTAAAGGAGATATACCTCCAAGGGGGTACGATCGAAGACGACGAGAGCAGGCACCGAGGGTTTGGGATACAAGTATTGGTTGGCACGTGAGAAAATTGGAGCGAACAGTATTAACACATATATTTGTTGTTGATGTTGGGAACGACGGGTTTCAGACGCCCCGGGAGGGAGGGGGGGGGGCTCGCATCGCATCGCATCGGGGGAGGGCGCGATGCAGTTATGAGATTCCTAGTGGATCATTGGCATTCCTGAATGGTTTCTTGGATATGCCTTGGCATTCCAGGGGGGTCCTACGGATATGTGCGGATGTTTGTTTTGCATCCCTGGGGATTCTAAGGATCTGTCAGGATTCTTAGAGGAGTCCTCGGGTGATCTGGGGATTCCTAACGATTCCATCGGATTAGCGGATTCCCCATGGATGAGTGAAGATCTCCACGTACCCCGAAACATCCAGAGGATTCCGGACGGTTCCTTTTGACCCTTGTGGATTCCTCAGGGATTTTGTGAATTCCCAGGGCTCCTCTGGATTCTTTAGGGGTCCGTAGGAATCCATGGAAAGCACAAGGATTCTCAGGAACCCTTCGGAATCATTCGAAGTCATAAGGAAATCAAAAGGAATCCCCCCAATCCATCGAGAACCTCTGGAATCCGTAAACACACATAGGAATCATCATGAACCCAAAAAAGAATTCCACGGATGTCGCAGGAATCCTCGGGATTCCTCAGGAACCATTCGCATTCCGAAGAAATCCATTAGAATCCATTAGATTCTTTCCGAATACGCAGATAACCATGGCAATCCGCAGGAACCCATCGGAATCGCAAGGGATCTGGAGGAACCCGCAGGAGTCCCCCGGAATCGCTAGGACTCCATAAGAGGTTTGCAGGAATCCCAGGGGATCCCAAGGAATCCACAGGAAGACATATGAACCCACGAGAACCGCCAAGAAACGTCAGGACTCCACAAGGATCCGCAGGAATATTGAGGAACTCGTAGGAGTTCTCACTATTCCATAGGAGTATATAGGAATCGTTCGGGATACCAGGGAGTTCCAAGGAAATCCTAAGGAATCATTTCGGATCAATTCGAATCATTCGGAATCCTTGGGAATCCGTGCGTCCCCAGAAATTCCCAGGCATCCGTAGGACTCCCTAGGATTACCTCGGAGTCTTCAGAAGCCCATGGAAACCCAAAAGGAGACTTACGAATCCATAGGAATCTACAAAAATCCTTAGGATCCGCAGCATTTGTTTGAAAACCCGAGGCATGTTTAGGAATCCTTTGGAATCCTCGGGAATCCCCCAGAGTTCCCAGCAATACCCAGGAATCTTCAGGAATCTTCAGGAATCCTTCGGGTCTCCATGGATCCATAGGCATCCCCAGGAATCCACATGTATCCATAGGAAACAAGAGAGATCCGCAGGAATCCGCAGGAATCCTGCGCATGTCTTGAGAATACAGGAATTCAAGGGGACCCCCAGGAATCGCTTGGAACCCATAGGAACGCATAGGAGTCAACCCTGGGAGACCCTAGGAACCCACGAGAATCCGAAGGACTTTGTCGGAATTGTTGTAGCCCTCCGGGATGCCCAAGAATCCTGAGGTGCCCCCAGTAATCCTTCAGGAATCCATCGGAATCTTCAGGAAACCGTGAGGAATTCATCAGAATCCTCACGGATCCGCAGGAACCCTGCAGGCATACATGAAAATCGCTAGGAGTCCTCAGGAATATTTAGGAACTCAGCGGGACCCTTCAGGATCCCAAGGAATCCTCGGGGGGCTCTTGGGATTTCGATCGGTTCTGGATGATTTTTGCGGACCTGCGGTTTCTTGTCGAGCCCTGAGGATTCGCATGCGTGTGAGGGAATCGTGAGGGTTCCTGAGGATTCTTATGGATTCTTGCGGGCTCCCCGGGATTGCAGAGGGTCCCCGTGGATCCTTGAGGAATTCGTGCGAAGAGCCGCCCTGGATTCCAATTGATTCCTGAGAATGTCTTCTGATTCCCCAAGATCCCTACAGAGCCAGAGGATTCCATGATTTCCCGATGGTTAGCTCGGGTTCCTATGGGTTCCAGGACGTCCCGGCGGAGCCTTCCGGATTCTTCAAGATTCATATTGATTCTCGAGGGCCTTTGCTCTAATGAATCGCGTTGTCGCTCGAGACGTCCTCTCGATTTGCCCAGGAATTGCGCTCTCGTCTTCAACTTCTTTGAAATGTGCATGCAGTCGTATAGACTTCGCGCCCGGGCCTTCCTCACTCTTTACTCAGGAGTCGTGCTCTCGCTCGATAGTTCTTCGCAATGTACGCGGGAATCGAGCTGTTTCTCTGTCCTCTGTTCTTTCTCTCTCGTTCTCTATCGTTTTGTTGTTTTTGTTGTTTTGTTTGTTCTCTTTCTCTTCCTCTCTCTCTCTCTCTCTCTCTCCCTCCCTCTCTCACTGAGTGTTCGCTTGGGGCGGTGGTGATGATGCTCATGATGGTACTACTGGCGATGTTGAATCGTGTTGACGATGAGACTGTTGATGGTGGTGGTCAATTTGGTGGTTTGTATAAGGAAAATGACGACCATGACGCTGAGGGTCATGCGTGCGATGGCAATGATGGTGGTTGTGCTTGCGCTGGTGATGGTCATGCGGTTGATGACTAGGTTGATGATGGTGATGTTGCTGCTGCTGATGCTGATGCTGATTGTGATGGTGGTGATAATGGTATGTTCATGGTGATGCTGTTGATGCTGATGACTGTGCACATGCTGCTGATGCTGGCGACGACTGTGATTGTGATGGCGATGCTGGTGATGATGCCATTGCTGATTCGGATTGTGAGTGTTACGGTAATGCTTTGGCGACGATGATTAAGGTGATGATTATGGTGGGGATGAGGGTGTTGGTTGCGGAGGCACGGGTAGTTACGGTGACGATGGTGACGACGACAATGGTGATGTTGATGACGACGGCGACGGCGATGATGATGATGACGATGATGCGGCGTTTGTTGCTGAGTATGGGAATGGTGATGATGAAGGCAGCAGCGTTGGTGGTGGCGACGATGCTGAAGATGACGATGACTATGCCGATCATGGCGATATAGTGATGATGGTGAAGAAGGGTACCTTGAACGAATCCTTATTCGGCTTTCCTTGGTTAGGATGATGCATTCATGTTCCCGTGCCAAGGAGTCGTTACCACAATTCCTTTAGTGAAGGTTCCTGACGTAGGTCCCCGTCGTAAAGATTATTCGCTCAGGTTCTCTCAGTACGGATCCCATGATCCGGCAGGGTTTTGCGCTAAGGCTTCCTGTGTCAAAATTATTTGCTATGGCCTGTTTAGCACGGGTTGCGTATTCAATGTACGGGTTCTTTACGAAGGTTCCTAGGGTACGGAATATGGATTAGGTTTCCCTTAGTCGGGATTCTGTATCAATGCTTTCTTGGGAAGGGTTGTGCATGACTGCTTCTTTCGTGAGGATTATGTATATTGTTTCTCTCAGTCCGGAGTTGTTTTACTACGTTTTTTTCCAGCACGGGTTATTATCGGACGTTCTTTTCGTCAGGGCTTTTTGTCAAGGGCTATCGATTCAGAGTTCTTCCCTTCGTAAGGGCTGTTTACCAAAGAGTTCCTGCGTACATATTATGTATGAGACGGCGCCTGGCTAAAGATCGCGGCGGTTCTTTAGTACGGTTCTGTAGTAAGCTTCTCTTCAAACGGACACGTTTACACACTCAGCCACTCACTCACACATCAGCATCATCGTTTTCATCACAAGCATCCAATCATTCGCTTACCAGCATTACCAGCATTACCATCATCATCATCATAATCATCATCATCATCATCATCATCATCATCATCATCATCATCATCATTCACACACTCGCACATTC